TAAAATGTGTACGAGTTGTCCACAAAATCGAAGTCGATTTGGATACGCTGTAAGCGTATGTACAATAGTTGTTATATACGATATGATATATATGATATACATGATATGCATTTGTCAGATAAAGGTGACAGTGTACATATCGTTCTAGTCATCGAATCGTCACATAGAAAAAGAACTTTTCGTAATTCATACTTACCAACCTGGAGAAAATGTTTAGAAATATCGAACTTATTTTTCTTTGAAGCGGGCCAAGACTGAACTTTTTGTTTAGCCACTAATAAACAAAGATGTCAGAAGATGTAGCCGGAAGCAGGTAATATCACCCGGATGCGGGCTGATATCAATAGGTTTTTACACGGACGGGTAACATCGACAATTTGAATATAATTTATTATTTAGTAGATCTAATTTGAGCAAAGTTTAAGCAGGTATATGATATAATATATACGATATGTAATTGTATTTTAAATATGATGTACAAATTAATGTTATCAGTCGTTGTAGTATGTCTTGATATCTTTATGGACAGATGGGGCTGTACGTGTGCTATCGCAGGTACCTCCTGAACCACCACCTGACGGTCCTAGCAGTGGTTCCGGTAGTGAAGAATCTTCCGAAAATGATGATTATGACAGGTTTAGCCGGAATATGGAGCAGGAATTACGCTTACAAATATTCGATCCACTCCAGTATGATAAGTTAATTCGTCCACGTGGTGTTGTTCATGTCCGCCTGTCAATTCGACTACAACGTGTCAACAAACTGGTAAGGATGTGGAATTCGTTGTACACATTATATAGTGTACAAGTAGTCTGCGTGATGCTTACGACTGCGAGAATTGTTTTCAATATCTTGTTTTCAATATCTTCACATACATTATGGTATTTTGTTCATTTGATGTATGTCTTTTATGTCCTCAAAGTGTATTATATACTATTTTGTAATAGGAGCTAGAAAAATACACGGTCAGACTGGGGTTCGAACCCGGGACCCTCCAAACTCTAGACGGACGCTCTACTAATTAAAATACCTGGTTGCCGACGATCGATCAAGTTCAGTTCCGCTTCAGTTTCATAAAGGAAGGATTTAAGTTCTTCCTGTGTCCCAAACTGTTTAGCCTCGTTTTGAAAGTTACAGGAAAAAGGCGCTCTATATGTCAGTTGTTCTTTTCTTATTGAACAAGTGCAATGATGAACATTTTTCGTATTGCTTTTGTAATATATGTTCTCCCTCTAATACTCCCTATACTTTTTCCAGATACAATTATGTTCAGGGTTTTTTCAAAACTTTCTCGAAAAAAAGAATCTGCTAATTTTCTTCAGCAGTCGCGGTCGAGTGTTGATAGTCCGAGTAACGCGGGCCTTTTTTGAGTATTGCGTATGTTTAATGGTCGGTATCTTCGATTTGACACTTATCAGTGGAGACCATGTTCTTATAAAATGATAAAATCTTACAAATTAAGTTTTATTTTCAAAGGACATTGAAAAGCAGACGATGACACTTACAGCTTTCATGTTTGTGGTGAGTAGTAAACAGACTGGGGAACAACCACTCATACGGGTAATAATCATGCATGGTGGTAATAATAATTGTTTGCACCAATAATAAAAAACCGCATATAAATTCTTTTAAACATTTGCAGCAAATGTCTTTCTTTCAAATTATTCAAATAGATAATGAAATGACTATGAGGTACAATCGTGCACAATTTGTTTTGTAGAAATGGAATACGATCACCTCCATTGCATATAGTGTGGTGTATAGTAGCTATAAAAAGAGCATAGAAAGTTTCATACTCACCTTTCAAAGTTGAAATGAATGACTACGGACTGCAATAGAGAACAAAGTCAATTGTAGTGTTTGTCAACAAAACGTTAGACATCATAAGTGACGATGTTTTGTACAAGTGTACCTCATTACCAGTATATTGCTTGATGAATTATGTCGAAAAAATGACATTTTTTTAGTCCTAACGCTTAACTTGTGTGCATTACTGTAGATAGTAACAGTTATTCAGATACACGATTATTATCCATATGAGAGGTTTTTTCCAACCTAGCAGTCGCAATAAGCTGGTTAAGATTTTATGTAAACAGCTGCTTCAAATTACACTTAAACTTCTATTATCAAGTTGGTACAAATTTCTTGCTTCACAATCAAGTTTTTTTACGGTACATACTTTTTTTTATCTTTTTTTTTATAGATATTTCAGTATTGCAGATGTTTTAAAATTCAGCCAATTTAGATGAGAACAACAGGATCTGCACAAATGATTCTCCACAGTATCCTAGATTTAACCCATTTTCTGGAGAAGCTTCAAAAACAGCGGTAGTTTGCCTCTCACTGCTCACTTTGATTTACAAATAGTCACTGTATGTGAGGTCTACCGTGCATATATTTTCACTCCATTTAACCAACTGTGAACCAATGTGTAACGCTATATTTCGTGGCGTTTTATTTTCTCCGTATTTGTGGCTAAAAGTACACTGAAATATGATCTCATCAATTTGATGCCCTCTGATAGAGAATAATAGAGCACTAGTTAATAATGATTACTATTGCATGTTTATGAATTACATTATTCGAAATTCTAAACCCATTGTAAATTATATATATACATATATAATTTATGTGTTTCCCGACGGGATGCGGAAGGAAACGGCTACTTTTGAGGGATGTTGACTTATAGATTGCTCGAATAATCATTCCCATTAGTTGTAATCTATTTAAATTTTAATTGGAAGATTTTCAAATTAGTGCTGTTTTTGTTTTTGTTTTAAGAATAATGAGGCATGTACAATGTATCTCTCCGTTCGGCGTAAGGATTCACGATCTGTATCCATCACTGATATACACTAAATCAGAATCAATGTGCATGTTTGACACATCTTATATAACGTCTTTGCGTATTGCAGAGTTATCTTCTCTTGTGAGCAGGTATTGATTGTTACGTCATTGGTTTGTGCGAGAAAATTACGTCGTTTTCTCAAACATTGATGACGTTACTTTCACAAACAAGTGACGTAACAATCAATACTTGCTCACAAGAGAAGATAAATCTGCAATACGCAAAGACGGAATACTTTCTATGTAGTACCAGAATATGTCACTGCAGCAAACAAATACAACATACAATGGTACAACACTTTATAAAATTTATTTAACAACACTTATGAAATAAGTAATTTCAACTTATATCAATAACTCTCGTTGGCCCTGGTGGTATCGCGTAGGGGTATTAATATCTTAATGAGGAAAGCAGAGTACCGACGAATCGAACCACTGACGCATTAATGAAACGGCGAGCGCGTTATCCACTGCGCCACCCGACCACCTATATCTGCAATATTTGTATCACTGTGTCACCGGAATTGTATTAATGTGTTTATGAAAGCAATGGTTATACCGCTGTGCTTCTAAACAGAATGATAGTATCACATATCACTTTCAACGGTTAAGGCGTCTGACCGTCTACGATCACTAGCCCTCCACTACTGGGTCGCAGGTTTGATGCCTACGTGGGGCAGTCGCCAGGTACCTGTCGTAGGTCGATGGTGTTTCCCCTGGTTATCCGGCTTAATATCCTCCACCAACAAAACCTTGAACGTCCTTAAACGGCCGTAGCTGTTAATATGACGTAAATTACACACAACCCAAACTCTATATGCATTTCACTGCTTACTTCACTTTATACATATATGTATTTTTGTTAATCAGACATGGAAAGACGAAAGGTTGGAATGGACAAACTTCACCAGAAGTGACAAAGATGGAATTCAATTATCGCGGTCCATTCCCAATATTTTCACCTCAGAAAGTTACACATGGCTACCCCCAATCAACATCGAAAATTCGTGAGTAGGATTTGTTACGATCTGAATATTTTACATAATATAAACTTCTTCCTTTGCTTGACTATTGTATTTCATTTACTTTTGTAATTAACGTCCGCATATTCAAATGATACAATATATTTAATGTATATAGGTAAAAACACGACAATTTTTTTTATAATTTTATATATATGATATAAATGATCTATATAGAAAAAAAGTGGTGAGCGTTTGTTTTAGATATACATCTTCTTAAGCGATTCCTTGCATCAATTTATCGTGTCATCATCTCTGAGAATTCGCAACAGAACTATAATAAAATGAAAATTGACATTATATATCTGTTAAAAAAATATGCAATATTCTATACAAAATATATACAAAGAAATACCACTTATTAGGTTTGTGTCAGTTCTATTTTTAAGCGATGATAAGAGGAAGTAAGGTTTGATTATATTTACAAAAACATCAATATTGATACTTAATTATATGAATATATTCATAATTGAATGATAAATTTTCTTTTCATTGTATTACTCTGTTGATTACATCTAATTTCAAAGTGTGTTGGACGTGTCAATTATACGTGACCCGGATGTTCCCATGCGCATCAGGCACACGGGGATTGTAGAGTGGAATCCTGCGGGCATCTTCGCTGTTCAGTGCTATTGTGACGTTACTTTCTATCCTTTCGACACACAAATTTGTTCCCTCGTCATAAGTACTCGTGCCTACACTGAAAGGTAAGATCACGTGATATGTCTTCCGATTGCTGCTGATATATTGTGCATTATCTTAAATGCATAAAAGACACTATTTCAAGCTTAAGAAAAAAGTGAAAATCAATAGATCGAACCATAAAATGAAAAAAAAGTGCAAAGAACACTATTCTTGTTTTTATCTTTCAGTTACAGAAAAGAGCTCAAAATAATACTGAATAAAAATACAAAATAACAAAACCTTGATAAACATACAAAACGCTAATTAAGGTTGTAACTTGTTAAACAACTGAAGCCATTAATCTAAAGAAATGGAGGCAATTGAAGTTGGAGTTTGTTGAATACTCACTGTGCATTGTTCAGAAGTATCATGTTAGAACTATTATTATATGTATATTTCTTTTTTCATAGAGAAATAAGCTTACACTTTTCCCGAAACCCCTTGAAAATGCAGGGCTACCAGGAAAACGGCGAGTGGGAGCTACTGAAGTTCACCGTCGAGGAGAAAGTGACCAGCACTGAAATAGACAAGGCGCAATATTCTTCTCTGCACATTAATTTCACGATGAGGAGGCGACCCCTCTACGTGTTCATGAGTACCATTCTTCCAACTGTACTGCTTTCCTTCCTCAGCGCACTGGTGTTCAAACTACCAGCTGAGTCCGGGGAGAAGATTGGGTATTCATTGACCGTGCTACTGTCCTATGCCGTATACTTAACGGTCATCTCCTCTCACATACCAGCAGCGTCGCTAACCATCTCAATTCTGTGTATGTATAATGCAATGTTAAACAGATATCTTCATTGTATTTCTTATTTATACAGCATAACATACCACGGAGTCCACAGAACGGTGTAGTTATATTTTGTTCCTTTGTCCCTTTGTGGGTAGTATATCTATAGGGATGTGGAGAGTAACATAAATATCATATAAAATGCAAACGAACTCAATATCACTATATAACTTAGCAAGTTATGCACTTCAGTTAAGGTAAAACTTTTGTTTACATCATGTAGTTTCGGAGTATCCGGACGCAATCGTTCATTTTCATTTTTAATATCGTTATTCCGAGTTATGATTGTGTTCTAATAATAATTCTAATACAGTCCACTATCTAAGATACACCCAACCGGCTTACTGCTGCTGTCCTGCCATACACGAAAAGATTTGTTGATTCGTTCTACTTTACAGCTGTATACACTGTGGTCGTGTTGATAATGGGAGTAGTTGCCGTCATCTTATCAATTATCGTTCTTGACTGCTACCACAAACACCCGGATGAAGAAGTGACGGGATGGATACGAAACTGTGTCTTCGGCTGCATGATCATTCTTAGTGGATGGAAGCGATCTGGTAAGCGCATGAGGGAAAAAGCAAGTAGAGTGAGTGTCGCCCCAATGGATAGAAAAAGCAGCAATCTTGGGGATCTTTCTGTATGTGATTGGGATAAAAGGAATGTAGAGAAAGTGAGTGCATGTGAGACAAATGAACCGGAAGTTGAACCAAAATCTGTCTCACAAAAAGCATGGATGGACAAAAATCTTTCATGGAAGGATATTTCCCGGATGTTGGACCATTTTTTTCTGCGACTGTACCTATGCTTGCTCTTCCTTATCTCTGTGTTTGTAGCTGTCCTGTTTTCGTTGGGATACTTTGGATTGTAATGGTCAACACCATATGTAGCTTCAAAGTGCAATGTGGACACCTCTATGTAAAATATGTTTTAAACTCTTAAAAATGTATATCCGTTAACGCGTTAGCGTGCTCTTTGTGTAAATGTTCGCATAGAATTACAAGTTGCACTATTCTCAGCCTGGACACGAGCACAAATACCTCGCAAAAAGTGGAGGATTTCTTTACAGTGTAGTTTCTCAGTCGAAAACATTTTTTCATAATTCAATAGCACATCTAAATTAATGATTTGTTATTTTTTCCGCTTTACTGCTAATGTAAATTAGCGACTTATGTTATTATTCAAATTCTAGTGGCATAAATATGAACAAAGCGGTGTCACAAAAAAAAAATCTTTTTGACTGTTCAACTATATATCAGAAACAAAGGAACTGAGCGCCATGACAATATTGTGGGAACAATTCACGGAGACTTTTTTTTTATATTGAATCATACTTTATTATATTTTTGTCAAAATGAAGTCAGAAAATTGATTTCAAACAACACACATCCACGTACAGTGATGAAATAGCTTTTAAAGGTACACAGTAAGGGCAATTTTGACAGCATACATTAATTTTGTCCAGGCAAGGCTACAGATCCAGCTGCCTGAGGTTTAGTTTCAAATGTTGGTAGAAAACCCGCATGTGTTTGTGCTCCATTTTGACACCGACGATCACCATAATGTAGCGCAATACGCACAGTGACTCATTTTCTTGCTGTGGGCCCTGCTAAAGGTCTCTTATCACTACAGCAAATTCTCTATTGTAGATTACATTTATTAAAACTCTCTACAATTAGCATACCGTGTTCCGTTACCTTCCTCAATATTTCTATACAGTAGAATTTACATAATTATGTTGAATCCAGGGAACTTGCTCTGTACTAATATTCTGGGGTGCTTTCCAATGGATATGTAACACTTGATATAGGTAAGTCAACTGTCAAAAAACACTCTGCATGTCATAAATACATTGTAGATAAGATTAGTAGAAACTAGTCATTGTCAACTGAAAACTGCTCTAGCACACGTTTGGGCTTGAAGTGAAGTAGTCAACACCATACTTTACCCAGAACGCATAATGTGGCAATCAAAATGACCAGAGGCAACAAAGGAATAAATAATATGTATTCTTTAAAAATCAAAAATAGTTCTATTTTACTCGAACTTTTATCAGTTATATTCTTTCTTTCATCGTCTCCCTAACACGTATTTACATCCTTACCCAACAGTATAAGCTCGCAGTGCTCCGTCCACTGAACTAACAATTAATGAACATGAAATTTTATTGAAAAGTATGTGTATGGAGGGAGGATCACCTAACCAAAATATTTATACAAACGAATCAACAACACAATTTTATATTATACAAACACAATGTACGTATTAAACGTGTTGTAACGTTGCGACACGTTTTATACGTATACAGTAAAACTTTGATATAACATATTTTCAAGCTGATGAATCTTATCAAGATATTCACAATAATATGATTTGAAATAATATCATTTGTAGATTAAAGGTAATGCAAATCGATATTTTATTGCTTTTGAGTTTATATCAGTCCGGGTTTTTTAATGTACAAAATATTTTACAAGTAAGTTTGACCTCCATGTGTCACATGTAAATGCAGCCGTAGAACAAATCCCTCCCCCGTTCTGGTAGTAATGACCAGCATGCTGGTAAATGACGACAATACTGGTAGCTAGTTACACACACCTACGGATAAAGTTTTATACGATTGAAACTAAGTGTATGATTGACCAAATGGAAGCATTTTTCCAACCACTAAAACAACACGTTTAATTTTTCTAATATTAAATCACAAGGGAACCTTGGATTAAGTCATACAATTGAAAAACAGTATTGCAGTTTTGGAGAGAGTATGTAACATCAGTAGCAGATCCAAAGGCTGGTTGAAAAGTAAAGCATGAATGTCCTCTGAGTGAAATTGTTTTTTACGTGACATCTACCGGAAAATAAAGATGGTTATGTGGGGGGGTTTAATATCACAATTTCAGTTTGATGTTTCTCAGGTGATTGTTAAGAATAAAATTGCTAACAAGATATGAGGAATTAGATTGAGTGTATTTGTTCTGGCAGTTAATTTTAGTTTGCTAGACATTTATTATTATTCAAATAGATACTGTAAATACTAGTACATGTGCATTACCGTACATTTTATACTTAAGGAATGACCAAGATTTTGTTTTGGTATATACGGTATATACCGAAAAAATAAAGCTGCGTTGTAATTTTGCATTCTGAAGTGTAAAAAGCAGTTCCGTCATCAGTTGTTTTTCTTTTTATGTATATACGATATATACCAAAAAAAATATTAAGGGGGAGATAGGCAAAATTAAATTATAAAACTATAACATTAATACGCTGATTTGCAAAAAGAATCCTCATTGAGGAACGATCTGGTATTCAATTTCGTTTGGATTAACTGTTTGATATTTTCCACTTATATTATTAGAAATGTAGAAGAGAATGCACCGTCGAACATTTTCGAAACAATTTAAGCTTGGGACAATGCTTTGTCATATGACAAGAATTAAATTAAATTGGACACTTTCAAAACATCTACGTATGTACTTGTATGTATGTATTTGAACAAAGCTTAATCAGTTTTCGAAATCATAATGTTTTATTGTTTTGACACCAGACCAACAAACCCTGTACAATGCATACTCTTTCAGGCCGTGTCAGCTACCGTTTCTACAATAAAAGGGATCTGACAGGTAAAGTACACCTTAGTAAAGTAAATATAAAGCATTTTAGATAAGATAGCGAAATATTCTTTTTAAAGTATCTAAGACATGAATATCAGACACCTATCACAAATGAAAATACATTTATTTGGTAAAATATATATTTTTTCTCATCTCAAAAAGTACCTTATATGATTAATGATTAGATAACTATGTACACTTATTTGCACAAGCAGTCACTCTTTAAACTGAACTGAACAAGCTATAAAGGACTTACAAGACACTTTCAGGTACTTATCAATAAAATCAATATATTAAGGCATTTCCTCTTAAAATATCCTTAATATAATCAATAATATTATCTGGAAAATATTTATATGATATATGTATACATTTATATTGAATGAATATCAAAATGTTGTTTAAGAATCCATGTACCACTGCCGAAAACTCTTACTACGCGTTGGAAACTGTTTTTTGCCGACGTGAATTTAGCTTTGATAAATCATTTCTGAAAAGAAAATCAGACCTTACTGGACTTTTATGAAAATTAATATAGATAAAATATGCAAAATATAATCAACAAATGTGCTCTAAGCATGAAAAATAAGCTGGACATTGTATTGCCATTGTCAGTCTAACCAAATAAGCTACATACCTAGTCAATGGAAATGTCGTGGCCCAACTGGTCTACCACTATGTCGAAAACGAAGTTAAGGGGAGGTAACTGTTCATACGAAAAAAAAACATTTCGATGGGACAGGGATTTTTAAACCTGCATTGAACTTGAAAGAATATTTGTTTTTAAGATAAAGCATTATAAACTGTGTAGTTGCTTGAAAGTTGTGTTTTACGTTTATGTAAGAATAATACTTAGAATACAATAAATATGTGAAAGAATATCGTGCATCTTTATAATGGAGTTTTCGATGTAATAATTATTGGAGTTTCTTATATACCGCTTTAGCACATCCTAATTCGTAGGTCGTCTCAAAGCTGTTCACAAATTATTATCTGTGGTTATATTGCCATTGCAATCAGACAACATCTTTCTCAACTCCCTGGAGAGCATACAGATGGTGTGCCATTTCGGCGCTCACAGCTAGCATTCAACAATTCTAGCACTGCCCAATCACGTACTCATTTACATAAGCGGAGTAAAGTATCTTACTCAAAGATACAACACAGTGCCGTGACATGGCTCGAACCTGCAACCCTTCGGTCAGGAGTCCGACGTCGTACCGCTAGACTACCGTGCCTCCGGTAATGAAAAATGTTATCAAAAAGTAATTATGATTCTCCGTGTACATAAATATGTAAATGTTTTAACATGTAAATAATTTAATGATGAAATGATTTCATTCTTCAAAGACAAAATTATCTTTAAAAAAAATCAACTATGTACATAAAGGATTAAAGTTGATACATTAAGATCATATTTGCAATGATGCAAAAGAAATGTTATTTATTTTTTTAAGTGTAAGGATTAGAAAAATATGTACGTACACTCTTGAAAAAGTGTAATGACAATAAACTCATTCGCCCAAGGTTTCGAAACTATGAATTCGAAAAATATTTGTATAAAAATCTGTATTTTTAAATCGATTTCAAACATACAACGTTTTCATAATATGTCTGATATTTTTGTTAAACTTTTAAAATATGTTTACATTAAAATAGCAAAAAGTCATAAAACACATATTTTTTTTTACATTCGTCTTATGTCAAATTTGAAACTTAAACATTTGTTCATTATTAACCTGTATATGTGATTCATATCTTTTGTATCTTTATATTATTTCATCAGTCTTTTAACACTGATCCAGTAAAGTTTGTCTGATGGCGTCGATAGTCAGCAATGTCCTGATGCAAAGGCGGGACAGGTTGCACCACACTTGATATCCATTTAATAATTGAGTCATTTTGTCCACCCCTTTGTTATTGGAAGACCATGGAGGGTTTTTATCAAAGGTGTTCCGTCCATTTCTATTGATAGACTTCGTGCAGAGTGACCTCCATTGTTTAGCATTGACGCGTCCGCTCCGCGGTATATCAACATCTCTGCGATATCCTCCCTTCTCTCCAGTACAGCTATGTGTAATGGAGTGTTGCCATTATTGTCTGTTGTGTGTATATTCGCTCCTCGGTTCAGGAGACGCAGTGCAGTGTCCATATGACCCCTCTTCACAGCCACGCTTAACGGAGATACTCCTGAAGGTTTCTTATGATTTATGAAAGCTCCGCCTTCCAGCAGAGTCATGGCAGACTCACTGTGTCCTTCCTGTGATGCCAAGAAAAGCGGTGATGTGCCATGCTCACAACATATATTTGGATCTGCGTTGTAATCAAGCAGTTTCCTGATAACTATATGGTGTCCCTTGTCTGACGTGATCAGCATTGGAGAGCCGCCATGGTCTCGCACCAGGTCTGGATTGGCGCCATTCTGCAGTAAACAACTCACTACGTCAACGTGGTTCTCTCGGCATGCATAGAGGAGGGGAGTAAATCCAGTGTAATACTCACCGATTCCCTTTAAACTTTCATCAATCTGGAGTCTGGACCTAGCATTGACGTCAGCATCGAAATCTAGTAGCAACTTGACTGTGTCTAAATGTCCATAGCCGGCAGCGAAATGCAATGGCATGGTACCTCCAGGTAATGAGTTCAAAAAAGTACTACCAAATGTGTCTAGCAACTCACGCAGAAAGGAACACATCCCAAGCCTACTCATCCAGTGAATCGGTGTTGCGGATAAGATAGCGAAGTCAAGAGCCTTCTTCATTTCTTTGTCATCATTATAAATCACTTCTGGTTGATAAGAGAGCATTTTCTTCCTTGTATCTTCTGGGTACTCCAATAAACATGTTTTCAAACAGCTCTGGAATTCAACATTTAGGATAGACGGATTAGTGAAGACGTCGGTAATGAATCCATGCTGAAGGTCCTTAGATATGCGTTCGGCAAACTTTGTGAAGTATTTGGGTAACAGCTCTATCTGATCAACGCCAACATCTACGTTCGTAGATTTTACTCGAATCCGGCATCGCAGAAACGCTGGACTGAAATGTCTAATGACAACTGGGACGTTTTCTGCTCCATACAAGACAGCAACAGCATCATATATGAAATCATGCAAGAATCTGTGATTTCCAATCTGATCCTTTATCACATAAACGTCCTCCATACCATCAAAACACTTGCGGATTTTATGAAAGGTCTTTCTTTCACCTGACAAACCGCACGAACGGACCACGTCTATCACTTTCTCATTCGTGGGTGCGTTGCTACGGTCAACCTCTAATAAAATGTCCATGTCAAACACACCGTCAAAAAGTGCAATTAAGCTCAAAGCGCAATAATTGTATCCTTTGGCGAGTCTCAAGTCCTCCATCTGTGTTTTAATCACACAAACAGGATCAAGCTTCTGTTCGGAAACATTGGCATCAGGCACAGATAGAAGATGACAAAGAACTGGAAACCCGGGGAAATATTCTTCGTTTATGTGCCCTTTAAATATGTCCCGTGCAAGGCCATGTTTACCAATAATTCCATTTTTTTCTTCAAGATTCAACCGATTACACTCCGCTGTAAGATCGATACAATTCTTTGCCATGTAACTGTCCCGAATCAAATGTTTTCCTTCCTTGTAAAGTCTTTTTCTCATGGTTACGATCACTTTCGTGCTGCCCTTTTCTATGCAACTATTTATAACAGCACTTCGTTGTAGGAACTTACGCACCTGTTTTTTCTCAAGCATGGTTGTCCCGATCGGGTCGTCTAATATATACAATGCTTTTTCATTGGGGTTGCAGTTTTTCAGTTCCCTATGTGTACTCATGGGATGAACGCTATAACCATCATCCATCATTTGAAGTGCAAGGTGCATACAGGTTGCTGTCTTTCCGTCACCAGGGGGCGCTATAAGAGTTACACATCCGTTTTTAATAAGCATTTCTTTAGCGTTGGAGAAGAATCTTGGCTCAAAATATTTTTTATCTCGAGATTTCCATTCTTCAATAAAACATTGAAGTTGTTCTGCAAAAGATGTTTACATTTATTGATTAGAGTTTATCGTCAGCCTTCTCTTTCATGCAATAGTAACAACACTGCCAGCAAACTGTGACAAAGTATCAAATAAACATTACATTTGACAAAAACCAAAATTAAATATTCAAATAGTATTAACTGTTTATACTAGATTACTAACATCTACCCGGTCGGCGCAGTCTGTTGTTGAGGAAAAACATTATTTTACCAACCTAATTAAAAGAGCATCAGAGCAAGAGTAAATAAACAAATTGTTTGAAGGGGAAAGACACAATGTCAAAGTTAGTAAAAATCAAATGTAAAACATTATAGAATCTATCAAATACCACATCATATCGAGCTATTAGAGAAAATGCTGACAATGGTACTTAAAAATTATATTTACATACCCTTCTGAGCAGAGTTGTTTTCAATATCAAAACGGATCTTCGAAACAAGCATTTCCATTTCTTCTTGTGTAGTAGATACTGTAACATTGATTTTTAATTAATAAATTAATTTATTGTTTTTTTTTAAATAATTAATTAATTCATTAATTTTAAATTGATTCATTCATAAACATTTTCAATTGATTTCATGACTACACATGTCTTATTGTTATTTATGTTTCACTAAGTTCACAGAAACGGAGAAATAAAACAAAAATCATATCCGAATCGTTGCAAACAATCATTTTACCTTCAGAGCAACTTGCAATTTCCTCCCCTATCACTCTGAGGCCAGAATCATCCATGATTTTTGCTAACAGTTGAGTTACTTCACATCGATCTTTTCGGGACGTCATGACTTTCCACCACATTTCCAACATAACGTGATTCCTCTGCACAGGCCGGCCATGGTAAATTTCCCTTAGGTGGTCCAACTGGGCACCTCTGTATCCCAGGGCTGTTCCGAGAGTTGTCCATTCTTTTCCTAAAGCTTGTGCGATGTTATCTATATTTGTTTCCACAATAGTAGAGTAGAATATAAAAAAGATAAAATTAGATCTGTATTCGTACAATTGTAATCATTTGAAATGGTAGCTACTGTTTAACGCAAATTAAATCAAATATTGACATCAGTTAGATTTGCTCGGCCCCGTGAATAGCTAATATATATTGATTATAGAGATGTTTCGCCACATGTTTCTGAATTAAATTGCCTTAAGCGAACGATCAGTAAAACAATATTAATTACTCACCAAAATCAGGCTCGCCTTTTATTTCGCTCTATGAATAAAGAATGAGATGAAATTATTTACAAATTAATTCCAACATCAGATTTCGACTAATCTTCTTTCTTAGAAAATCCATTATCGATTAATGAAATATCTAATTTTTATACAAAAGTTTATTAATTCGCAATGGTGATTAAAGCATACAGATCATGCAAAAATTGTCCCATGTTCAGAAAAAAAAAGACAAGCTTCAAAAGTTACATTACGAATCAATATGATAAAGAAGAAAAAAATAATGTACCGTTTTATTGAAATTATCTCTGTGAAAACCATCCATGTGTTTAATACACTGTGAAAGTCTCTTTTTAGCAAGAAGTTAAGACAAAGAATTTTGTGAAAATGTAACAACACATTAAATCACAGATCCTTACTAAGAATCTTCCTATTGAAGATGGTAACAATCTACTTAAGTATGATAAACACTACTTCAAAGCTTTGATATCTCAATTGAAAATAAACAATTTTCCGGTTGTGGCTACTCATCGAACAATATACTACTTCTAGGACGTGAGAACTCAACCGATGATAAACTTCTTCCGGGTCAGAGGAATCCATCCGAGAAGACACTATTGTACCTGTTGGTCGGCGCCACTCACCTGATAATTTGCTACCTCCAGTTCGTGACTTCTAACCCAGAATACACTTCTCTTCTTCCGGGTCGTGTCTACTCACCCAATAATAAACCACTCACATGTCAGGGTACTCACCCGGGAATATACTACTTCCGGATCACGGGAATTCAAACGAGAAGAAACTATTTCTTCGTCGTGGTTTCTCTTCATTTTCCTTTTGAGGTTACTGATCTTCTACAATATATGCATTTAACTGAAAAGAAAACGGTAAGAAAACAGTTATCTCACCTGTTGCGATAAAGATAATTTCAAATCATTTGAGATGAAACACGGCATTTCATTGGTCAAAAGAACTAATATGCGACGGTATAACCACGATATACCGTCCGCAATTTCTAATTTGCATATAAAACTCGGATGACCCCGACATGCAATGATACTAATGACGCCACGAATAATATTATGACCCCAAAAGATCCATGCAATTCTGACTCACTTTGAATGTTCCTGACACAAAGACACACAAAAACATCTTAAAATCGTCGTTTCGTTAGGTAATTATGGCCGATAAGAATGGGTTAAATCCTACTGTATTATGAGGGTTTTTTCGGTATACCGTGATTATACTGTCGCAAATATCCGATTTACTGGCTCCGTGCTGCTTGTTAAATTCAATAAGTGAGAGTAGAAATACGATATACTGCCGCAAATGTCAAAATACAAAAGGGGTACCCCTTAATAAATTCCTGATAATACACATACATCACAGTATCAAAACAGCCATACAAACAAGCCCAGCGTCAATAACAAGGAAAAATATACCTAAATGTCAAGACTCAAGGAAAACAGATACTCTAATGTCAACACACAAGACAAAATATACGACAATGTCAACAAACAATGACATGATATACCACAACGTTAACACACAATACAAAATATACAAAAGCGTCGACACAGGGGCAATAAACACCTCAGCGTCAACACAAAAAGACAAAATACACCACATCGTCAACACACAAGGGCAAAATACACCACAGCATCAACACAAGGACAAAAAACACCACAGCGTCAACACAAGGACAAAAAACACCACAGCGTCAACACACAAGGGCAAAATACAACACAGCATCAACACAAGGACAAAAAACACCACAGCGTCAATACACAAGGACAAAATATACCACAGCGTCATCACAAGGGCAAAATACACCACAGCATCAACACAAGGGCAAAATATACCACAGCGTCAACATAAGGGCAAAATATACCACAGCATCAACACAAGGGCAAAATACACCACAGCATCAACACAAGGGCAAAATAAACCACAGCGTCAGCACAAGGCAAAATATACCACAGCGTCAACACAAGGGCAAAATACACCACAGCATCAACACAAGGGCAAAATACACCACAGCATCAACACAAGGGCAAAATATACCACAGCGTCATCACAAGGAGAAAAAAGACCACAGCGTCAACACAAGGCAAAATACACCACAGCGTCAACACACAAGGACAAATATACCACAGCGTCAACACAAGGACAAAAAAAAACCACAGCGTCAACACAAGGCAAAATACACCACAGCGTCAACACACAAGGACAAAATAAACCACAGTGTCAACACACAAGGACAAAATATACCAAAGCGTCAACACACAAAGGACAAAATATACCAAAGCGTCAACACCAGGACATTATATACTACAGCGTCAACACACGATACAAAATTTACCACAGCCTCAACACAAGGCAAAAAACGCCAAAGCGTCAACACAAGGCAAAAAACGCCAAAGCGTCAGCACAAGGCAAAAAACGCCAAAGCGTCAGCACAAGGACGAAATATACCACAGCGTCAACACACAATACAAAATATACCAAAGCGTCAACACACAAAGGCAAAATATACCACAGCCTCAACACACAATACAAAATATACCAAAAAGCTTCAACACACAATACAAAATATACCAAAAAGCTTCAACACACAATACAAAATATACCAAAGGGTCAGCACATAAGGACATTACATACCGCAACGTCTTCAAACAAGGACAAAATTAACTACATCATCAACACACAATGATAAAAAATACCACAATGTCAACACACAAGGACATTAAACACCAGAGCGTCAACACACAAGTACAACGAAATTACGCAGGCGACACCAAAACACAACGAACAAAAGCACGTCGGACATCATTAACCCCTACGTAGAAATTAAACTCTTCTCAGCAATATTCAAATCACATTTTCATGTATTGATCCCAATATAATATAACACGTTGTGTAAGTTTTTTGTTAATGAGATATAACTCCAATGACTATGTAATAACTGGAATGACTCGTAGGGAGGGGGGTTAGAGTAAACATATCTAAGCATTGCAAGCACAGACGGATATTGTCTACAGATAACATGAAAAGCTGTCCAGAAAAAAATTGCATCTGATCGTCTTACGCTAATGTTTGTAGAAATCTTTAGAAAAAAAAACTGTTTACAAAGTTGGTTTATTTGAACATTATATCAATGGAATAGCAAACAACATAAATGGAAACGTGTTCTCAATAATCACTACTAGAATTGTTGTGAGATTCTTGAGAACAGTTATCTACAAAAAAAAATGCAATAGTATGGAGAGCAAATGGTTGAATAATACATGATCACGGAATCAAAAGCAACACAGATGATGTATTTTAAGCGCTTACGTGTAGATATTGCATTAGCAAAAGTATGGACATTTTGTTTGCACGTGAGTTCAGACAAATAATTTGTCCACCGATACATTCTAGGACAGACTCTGCACCCTGTAATGTTGTGAATCATATGTTTCTTAGAATTCATTATCAACAACTTACAGAAAGACAATGCTATTGTGGAATTCTTATTATGCTGTTAAAAGAGAAACAGCGTAGCGCGTGTTGTTTACACTGTACTGTACATATATATATATTAGTATTCATGTGATCGCTAGATAGTCAATTCAGCGAGCCATACCCTTACGAATATATTTGTTTGTCTGTTAGTTGAGAACCAGACATAACGCCCTAAGTCGTTATTCCACATGAGAGGGAAATACTGCCTTACTGGCAAGATAGCGATGCGGTATGACCCTGAACTCCCACACTATTTTAACAACGCGAAGCAGGATGGGTGCCCGCCTGCGCGTTACAATTGGTGTCATTATAGTGGTTTTGCAGTGCCTTGTAAGGCCAGTTCCCAGTGGTTAGAAAGATGCTTTGGTACACAGGGAGGACCCACGGGATTCCCTAGACCAAGACATGGGACGAGACACCTCGGAGGGGGTAACAACGTTATAGTCAAGGAACATGAGGGGGAAAGTACTGCCTTACTGGCAGCTAGCTTTTCCAGCGATGCGTCCCTGAGACTCAATGTTTAGTTCTGCAACGTCGTGCGTGCTCAGTGACTGGTTAGGTGCCTGCCTGCACGTTATAATACATTAAGCAAGAGCTACATATGTGCCATTATATATATGCTTTGGTACACAGCATTGATGCCTGTAGATGACATCAATGAAACAAAGAGTTTCACTGTGTCTTGATAAAGGAGCGGATCGCTCCGAAAATTTGACAACCTAAACTTGTCCACACTGTTGGAATTACTTCTTTGCCCCATACACACACACACACATATATATATATATATATATCTTATAATATCCAAATGATATCAGATCTGATCGTTACCAATATTGTTTTACGAGTCGTTTCTTGATCTTGCCATAGCGACATGTATCCTGCTATGTTTGTTTAAGTGTGTGGCTGGTAAGGACTGTGCACACAACGCCTGTATTTTATTGTATGGTGTAGATAAAAGTGTTCCAGCATTCTTTGTCTGGCGATAATCAATGTTTATATGTATATACTGTTGAATGAAGATCAGTACCAACCATGGGGAGTGGTCAGGAATCATTACAATAACTATGAAGAACTAAACCCTGTCACGATCACTAATATATATTTTTGTTAATGTTAACCTTATTTCATTGATTACATGGGTAACTGAAATATTATTTTACTAAGCCGGAGTTTAGTCATCCGTCTACGGGTTTCAATTAGAGATCAACAGGTAGCCATGAGAAGCCACACGTAGATTTGTTCAATTGCTATTGAGAGCTTGTAAGCAAGCACAAACTACAGATTGTGGTGAGTTTTTATATTTGTTATAACATTGTTAGTTAACGACATGTACATAGTTGTTTTTCATCTGTAATATTTCTAATCACTTTACCTGTTGATTGTATATATGACCATGCCTGGATATCAGGTGCACATTGTTTACATTCGCGCGCACGATGCGTGGGTACTGTTTATCTTTAAAATATCAAGGCGATACATAAGCCTGTTAACACATATTGTTTAACCACATATTACCTATTAACAATCCCCATTTAATTGCCCATTTTCTAATCATGGTAATAGGCATAGAGTTCAAGTGTACGCGTCACGGTTGAGAGAACCGCACACGTGGATTTACCCTTAATATTAAGGCGGCTTGTGCCGTGCCTTTATATTTGTATACAAATATACTCTACTTAGTAAATGGGTAGAAATGGCGTATTAACTTGTCTTACCACTATTGTCATTGTATATACATATGGGTAGTAAGACATTCTGTACGTATATGTTACCTTTTAATGACATTCAGTATATATGTATAGGTAGTAAGTCTGTTGTACATATATTGTAGTTTCAACCATGGAACAATGATGAAAGGCAAACACTATTAATCCTCTTGTGAGGGCTGCAAGAACTAGCTGAGGTAGTAGCTAATTTTTATGGTGAGCGTCCTGTGTGGACCACATCTTTAGGTTCTGTGTGAACTGGGTGCTGTGTGCTGTATAGTTACCGGGGTAGTGAATACTTGATGCGGACGGACCGTGCTCTGTGTGGACACTTTATGTCAGTTTGACTAACTGGTCGTCACGTGAAACCTCTCATATGGATTTTTGTGAGCCCATCAGCACAGGAGTTAGGGTTCAATAGGAGACGGGACCGGGGACTACAGACCGCGGTGGACGAACCTTGTCATGATCACTGTATCCAGGCAGTGAAGTCATACAGTGACTTATACATTGACTTTGCCAGTATTGGTGTATAGTTACCTGTGTAATTTCAGTATTAGTATATCCATCTGCTTTGTGTGATTCTCATGTTGCTGTTTATACTTACTTTATGTGAGAGTGAGAAAGCAAAGGTTTATACTCCTTATAAATAACAAAACCATAGTGTATATTTTGTAAATTAAATTTTGTATATATTGTAATCCAGTCTTAGTGTCATTCTACACCACACTTGCAGTGTCAAGCTCGTCCATAATTACAATCAAATTGATATTACAACATATAAACTATTTTATGGTAATACTTACAGATAGACTATCGCCTCTCGATTCAGTATCCAGGTCACGTGACAAAGGGCACTCGGCACATGTACCGTAGCAGTTCTGAGCGGAACCTCTCCTTCATACTTCCGTATGTGCCTGTAGATGACATCAATGAACAAAGAGTGAACTCTTCGTCATGAACTAACATAATGAATCGTTTGTAATGTGTTGAAGGTAGAAATATTGTAATAGATATGGGCACTCCTGTGGTCAATTAACAATTAGTTAATATCACTGATAAAATCATTCACATGATTTCTGATGTGTAGAAAAAAAAGCCACCCATGACAAAAGGAAATACCAAAACGTACATATGCCTTCCCTCATTTTAATATTTAACACGAATATCAAAAAGTATCCTATTCTAAAGTATGGTTAGCTTGATATACATGTACATTTTAGATTACATGCTACCCTAAACTATTCAGCCGTCTCATTAATAATATCTCTGCCTCTGTATATAATGCACAACACATCTACACGAAACAATTTTAATTTTAAACTCATTTTCCTGTTAAAAGAGAAACAAAGAACCATTTGTGGCAATTGTTGTAAATGAGAACAACGAACGTGATCACTAGATAGTTATTAAGTCAGTATTACTCTTATCACCGTACGTTACAGAATGTGTGTAAAGTTTGAATCTCATGGCTATTTGCCTACCTTACCGGTCGATCCCACAGCCACATGTATTCGCCTGTGTTTGTACAGGCGTGCGGCTATTAAGTACTGTGCATTTAACAGGCGTATTTAACGCATGTGTTTTATGTTAGGGTATAGATTTAGTTATTCCTGCAGTTTTTGTCTGGCTGTGACCATTGTTCATATTTATATAACGTTGAATGGAGATCAATATCCAGGCGCGTAGCTACCATGTAAGCCAATAAGCCCGGGCTTGCACATGATTTTGACAAGTATAGGTTTTCATGACCTTATTTTTTCTTGATGATACTATAAAGTGGAGTTTAAGTTTTGAATATATAGTATACATATGTAATTCCTCAGATATGATACATTGTTAATAGTTAGTACAAAAATGTATGAAGTTTAGAAATGTCCATTGCATTAATGGACAGTTCCAGGCGGAACTAAACTGCTGGATTGAGTAAATTGAAAAACTCACGCCTGGCGCAAACGACTCCGAGTATGGCACAGTGGACACAGACAATCAATGGTGTTTTTTTTATGAAAATATCAATTTGGGGCAAGTCCGGCCCCTTTTGCCGGGGCACATTCGGCCACCCCGAATGCAACTGTTATTGTGCCAAGTGACGTCACTATTGATAACGTCACCCAATTGCCCACAAAAATAATATTTTTACGTCGCAAAAATTAAGTATTTTTTTCTTTGTATTCACTGATTTGTTCTGGACTTTCTGGGCCTTCGGCAACCCCATGTCGGGGCTTACACATGGTAAAGGGGCTAGCTACGCGCCTGATATCAACCACAGGGAGCAGTCGAGTGTCGTTACATACATTAATAATGAAGAACTATTACTTAATTGAAATGATTATTACAAAGTATACACTATCTCCTGGTAGTAATTACATATTTGGATACATGTAGTTTCACGATCTTATACTTATTATTCAAAAAAACATTCAAACTTTACAAAAAAGGTGTTTAGTTTGAATCTCATGCTTATTAACCTACCTTACTTACAATCAACATGAAGATCACGTGACAAACTACAGTCGGCATATATATCGTAGCAGTTCTGAGCGTGTCGTCTTGTCCATAGATTTCGACTATATATCTATTTATAACGTTGATCTCGACTATATATCTATTTATAACGTTTCGACTCTATACATCTTTAAATGACTGTTAGTTAGCTCGAATTAATACAGCTGTATATATATATATATGTACATTATTTGCAAATGGCAGTAAATGTTTTTGACTTTATTGATCTGTTCATGGCCCTGATTATTTACACTCTATAAACATTTATACATAACTGAATTATTTCGACCCAATATATTTGTACATGACTGTGATTTAGTTCGACTCTTTATATTTATGTATAATTGTAATCAATATCATTAACGTTGAAAATGAGTCGTTTGAAATATGTTTAAGACAGAAGCATTGTATCAAGATATCGTCAGTTATGCGGTCAATTATGAATTGGATTATGTTAATTATAAAATTATCCGCACGATTTCGACGTTAGAAAATAATTGTTTCTCATGGCAGAAGGAAATAAAAAAAAATGTGCGTGCTGCTACGTTGCTCTATCAGGAATGTGTGTGGCAGAATGTTAATTTCTGATCGTTTCTTATTCAATAGCAGAACTAGAGCTCTTTATAAAACCATGTAGATCACACGTTATTCCGCCGTTTCGTTAACTATGGATTTAAAGGTATTGTAATTCTTCCTTTGGTTGTTTTGTCTCTGCAAATTACATACACAGCATATTGTTATTTCTGATATTGATCCCTTTGTCATTAAATATTTACAACTGACTGCATGGGATTTAGCCAAGCCACATCACGACAGTTTGCAAACGTCATAGTATCAATGAATACAAAATTGAGGACACACTTAATAGTTAAGACGGGAATGCAATGGTATATATTGCGACAGGAGAGGCCAGTGCGCTTTCCCAAATACGCAACGGCATTCCATAAATGAGAAATATGTGTAAAGTTTGACTTTTTAACCAACTTATGTCAAATGCGTTATAACAATTGCGAAAGTTAAAATTCTCAATTTTAAAGAAAAAGAAGAAGAAGAAGTTGTGTCAAATTTGTTTTCATGAAATTATGGAAGGCCAGTGTCCTATGCCGAATGCGCACCAGGCAGCTGTCGCCCTAATGCCAAATTATGAACAATCATATAACGAGGAGCCATTGGCAGGTGTAGAAGTCTACATGTATCCTCATCTGTGTAACGTTGAGATTGTTTCACTTGACAATAAGCATTTCGCATTCTGAATTTTACATTGCGTACCGGTCGTTAACAGTTTTATGGAAAAGAAATTAGAAAGTGGCTCAACTAGATCCTCTTCCTTTCAAATGAAGGTTTCAACTGTTACGCATTCGGCATTTACCAATTAGGGTTAGGAATTAAGATCCGTATTTTTAAGAGGGTTTGGTTGTTATTTTGTTAACGTTCTATCAACAGTTAAGGTCATTAAAGGACGTACCTCCACGTGTGTAATGTATGTTTACATGTGTGTATGTGTGCTGGAGAGGCAGATCATCTTAGTTTACTTGCCTCCTTGTGAAAGCGCGCATCTGACACCGACTTTATAGTGCTATCTTACTGATATAGGGGCTGGATTTGATGTCCTTTTTAATTTGGCATTTAAGAATTGCAACTCACGACATAAAATATCAAAAAACCAAAATACAAATAAAAACATTTAAATGATTAAGTGAAAAAAGAAAATGTTCAACCTATTTATACGACTTTTCTCCAGATGTTCCTGGGTAGTTCATGTTCACTGAATATTTCTGAACAGTGTCTACAAGGGCAAGCTTAATATTTATGAACATTATGCACAAGGGCAAAAAAGATACGATAACCACTTTACCTAATAAACTATTGTATGATCTCGAACTAGATCTAGCCTTGCAGCAGTCACAGTATAAAATGTATAACGATGAAGGTCAATACATTAGTTAGCAATGCAATATATTCCAAAACATGTTGAACTGTATAAAAAAAAATGGCCTATTAAAACACCAGTGAGTTGAGTTGTGGAGTATATCAGTTTTACAGCGGGATAGTAAAGTTCACGTGATGTCTTTGTCTTTCTTCCTTTATATGTAAATAAAAGACGTCTTAACATGTATTTCAACAACATTTTTTCTATTTTTTTCCTTTTTCTTTTTTTGTCAAATTCAGTTGGGGAAAAAATATGAAGTCTGGATAAAAACAAGGTGAAATTCAATTTTTGTATTTAAAACAATAGTAATTCAAGTGAATGTCTTTTATCTGAACTTAAAATGATTGCTTTTATAGATGAATCCAAGTGATTTGGTCTGTGCACATACCTTTTTTGTTATTATTTCTTCCTCTGGACAGCATCACGACACGTTTTCTCCACAAATGATTCCAGAGCTTTTCTAGTCTCTATTTTAGCCTTTTGTATATTTTTTCTCACGTCAGGTATAAGAGTAAGATTTGTCCTACCCCTAATATATGTTATATAGATTCACAGAATTATTATAACTTACCGAAGTATAGGAATATTAGAAGTGAAATAGTGTAAGATTGAACGAAGCTCGTCACCAATATCCCTGTTTATACCTCTTTTCATTCGATCCCCCTCCTCCACCATCAACCTAAATCCAAAAGAAAAAGCATTAAGTTGGATACACATACTCATTTGCATTTATCACATTTTAAACACGCAAGGACCCATGTTATATGGAAATAATTGCTACAGTATCTTTATAGCCATAGGTATCCCTTTTGAGAACATTTTGTTACATACATACTTTACTTTACTCATTATCAATTAGAAATTAACCAGTACTCCTCCAGTTTGTGAAATTCCTGTAATTAAGGGCTGTAATGCTGTTTCGTAGATTTGTCACTACCAGATTGCTCGTATGATACTTTACCCCAAATGTAACTTAAATATCTTCAATGTTCATGAAATTGTAATAAAATCAGAAAGAAGATTCAGTACGAAGCGAAAACCTGCTGTAGGAACATGATGGTGGTCAAGCAGAACGATAGAAAATTGTCTCGGTCAAGGGGACATAACCACGTCAGAATCGCACCTACTCGAACAAGTGACCACGTAATCAGATTATTTTTGTTTAACGACATATCAACTTCCGAATGGAAGCAGATCGACAAAACCAGTAAGCCATGTAAGTATAGAATAAGTATTAATTTGTCCTCAGTGATGATAACAATATATCTGTCTACGAGGACTGACAATATCAAAATGTTTGGCAAGTAACGGTTGGCGAGCGCATGGAACGGTACGCTTATATATGGTCTGCCTCGGTAAAGATCTCATTGCGATAAACAAACACGGAAGCTATGCCGATCATGTTAACAAGTCTGGGCTTTGTTTTGTTATTTGACGATTCTACAAAGATCTGACTCTTCTTTACAGGATGCATCAGAAGAGTGTTTTGGGAGTAAGGCCGACTAACCTACGGTGTCCATTAATCCTTTCTGGCAACAGGAGAAAGTGTAAGTATTTCACGCTAAACAATGCTTTTGTATGATAGGCTTAATTCACACCGTAGCAAATTATAATGACCTAGATGGGTTTTTTTTTTTTATATATATATATAATGTGTGTTAAGAAAGATGCAATATAAAAATTGTTCTGAACCAAACACATGAGTATCAAATTCCTGCACATATTTTTTGTTGTCAACAGGTGATTTTGAATATATTTTTGATCCACAAAAAGAGCATTTTTTCCTTTAAAAGTTGATTTTGATAGACATTTTTCTGTTATAATGTACTTATTCATATTTATGATAAGAAAGGACAAAGTAATTGTGATGACAGTCAGAATTTACAGAATGCTGTATTTGTTTTTAGATTGAATTGATTATTTTTATCTTTTGAATTATATTTTAAATCGAAGATGTATTTCTTGTCATTTTACTTTGAATAACCCTAACGTGTTGTTGACAAACGGTGGTATGACCATACATGATACATGTGTACCTCCCGTATTTGTTCTGGAATCCTACCATGCTTTTATTTTAACATAGTATGTGTTTTGACACGCTCTACAGTTTTTTTATAACAGCTGATAAGACCGGACCTATTAACACTGACAGGAACACAACATCCTACCAGCCTAGGACATTTACACCATAATACCCCCATTTAACTGTCAAACACTAGTATGTTACCTAAACCCGTCTAATGAGTTTCAAAGACTCTCCAACGTATAAATATGGGACGTTCTTTTTATTTATTTATTTTGACCTCGATGAATAAAATTTGCGTTGACCAAAATCGTTTTCTACAATGGATAGGCAGATTAATGAAAACGACAAAAAGCAAATGACCAATGTCTTTAAATGTTCAACACGGTGATCTTCATTAGAATTGATACAACATTGTAAAACTTCAAAATGTCCTGAAGAAACTAAAGGTGTATCTGTAGAGCCATCCATTTGCTTGTGAAAAGAAAAGAGAAATGGCACAGGGAAGAAACATCTCAGAGCGATAGAAAAATCAATTCTATCCAATATTAAAATCAGCGATATGAAAAGAACTCCTCCAGCTGACAATGAAGGATAAGACTGGTGAATGCTATGAGTGTAGAGATAAACACAATTTGATATGAGGATTAAGACTTCTTCGACCTAAATGATTAAATAGACATTTTATTTTACATATCCAAGTTTTTAAAAAACAAATTATTGTGTTTTTCATATTTCAACAATGATTTTGATGAATTAAAATTTGAAATACAAATGATATGAAAAATATGCTTAAAATTACTTTTCATAATTACCCCGTAATATGGGAACACATTTTCACTGCATGTATAATATATAACATCAGTGCATGATGGCACATTAAAAAAAATCAAGAACAAGCAGATGATATCATTATTTTATCGTCTTTTTCCTTGCAAAAATGTGATGAGAACTATTGCATGTGCTATCTATCGAAAAATATGTGTGCTAGTAATTGCACTGCACAGTATATCAACATATGATTAAAACTTCTATTTTACTCCTTTTTTGTATTTATATCAATTTTAGTGTTCTACTTCCTGCTGTTCCTCGGATTTCTGTGAATCTGCCTTCATCATGACGCAATGCTGGAAAATCTACCTGTTCGACATGATGGGTTGTGAACGAGAGAAATTTATATGTTTGAAACTCCGAGGACGCCTGGCCAATCAAATGTTTGATTATGCCTTTCTGTATGCCTATGCTCGAAAGAAAGGTTTGTCTATGATTACTCCTCCATCCGACCTGACAAAGGCTTTTGGAATCCAACCAAAGACTGGAGACCAGTATGGGTTTAGTAGATAAATGTGCTGGTGTTTCTGGACGATAGATCACAAATGGAATTGTGCATATGACTCATTATTTGAAGACTTTGAAAAAAGTAAAGACTTGTCGTTTCGAGGATATTTTCAGTCATGGAAGTATTGGAAAGATTATGATGCAGACTTGCGTGAAATTTTTGTTTTTCAGGATAATAAACACGAGGAAACAAGGACTTCCATGTACAATATTCTGAGAGAATCCACGACAGGGTTCTGTCTTAGTAGGAATACATGCCAGGCGTGGGGACCACATTGAAGGGCGTGACGTTAATTACGGTAAACTTGTAGCAACAGAAGACTATCTTAAAAACGCCATGCGTTATTTTCGACAGAAATATAATGATATTCTTTTTGTTACTATTTCTGACGATATACTGTGGACATCCAATGCTTTTCGAGAGTACGACGATGTGTACGTTGTAACTGGTGATTCTGGTGAAGTAGATATGTGTCTTCTTACAATGACCAACCACACCATCATGTCAGTCGGAACCTTTGGCTGGTTTATTGGGTGGATGACCAACGGAACCGTAATTTATTATAAGAATGGAGCGAGACCAGGCTCTGGATATGAATGGGAATTTGGACCAGGAATCCAAGTTCACTTCCTGCCTCATTGGATCGGAATGGAGTGATCGTGCTTATTTGATATGGACGATATTTCTCCTGCAATCGAAAGCTGATCGAGTATGTTAGCATTTTCTGTCGTCTCCTAATCGTTTCTTTTTATGTTATTACCACATCACGTTATGCTACTTGTATTTTTCAGTATGACCCATAACTACATACAGGCTTCCCTACTATGGGGACCAAAACTTTTTTAAGCCGCAATTGGAGTAGCACCTGTCAAGAATGGGGCGACAAATTGGTTCTACCTAACTCGAGAATGCTAGCTCACACACTCTTTGATCTGAAAATGTCGACATCTGCACCTTATAGGAGGATATTTGAATCATCAGATATATGAGTAAATGGTAGCACTGTTTTTATATGTTGACATTCTTGATCTAGGATTGATAACCTATTTATTAAATATCGTTTTTTCGTTATATGAGACGTCACAATCAATTATTCAAGTTTTACTCATTTATACTTACTGAAAGCAATAGTCGTGCTCCGAATAAGACAATGCAATATGGTAAAATGGGAACCAGGACTTGCTCCTCTGAATGATTATGTAAAATGGCCAAAATGTGATGTCTTGTGGAAAAACACAAACCCTGCATGTGTTTTATTTGTGAACTATGTACTTTTAACAGCTAATATATATATATATCCCGTTGATATTTTTTAAACAGTAATTCGTAGCTCTCCTGTTACAGAATGGATTTTCATTGACTCATTGTTAAATGTTGATATGATATAGGAAAATGGACAATTTCTTTTCACCAATAAGATATATACATACATGTATAGTACTATCATGTAAGGTAACATATTTTAAGATGTGGCTAGTATGGAAATGCACTCTTTTACAAAAACTATTTATTGCTGTGAGTGGGAGAAAATAAATAATACCGCATTGAAGTGGTGACACAGTCCCTTTACATATTACCTTCTTTAATGTTCTGTCTACTACATTGAAATCATATTTAAAGTTTTAAAAAATAATTGACAAATTCTTTTGTCTGCACTGTCGTTATTACTTCTTTACTTATATGTCTATATTGATGTGATCTAGAACAATTAACATTACCCATCTTTTTTTTAGTAAATCCAATATGATTTGATAAAATTAGTTTTTGGCACACATTATATAGTTCGTCTATTTATATTCTCAATTTCTGTGAACTGTGAGATGAAGGCATTAATATCTTAAAAATTCAATTTAAGTCGGTTATGCAATTTTGATATCATATAAAAATAATTTTGGTGTGCAAAATTACGTTGGGTATGTGAAAATTGACTTTTGGGTTTGCAAATTTTATGACATACAAATGAGTTAAAATAAGACACACTCATCACGTCTAACATTATTTATATATGTATCTATTCATTCGACAATTTTACAACTAACATTCTTTATTTATTTATTTGACCATTGCACCGAGGATTAAAAGATTCATTTATATGAAAAGAAGAGTGTTATATATGTTATGTGATTTATTGTATAGCGTGTCTTGTAGATATGTTTGACTTGAACGTGGTTGTATATTTTTATAAAAGTTTAAGAGTTTATTTTCAATCTTTATAAATGAATTAACATTCGAAACAAGAATTAAAATGCATTTTCATCTTTCTGGATGCTTGATTAAGTTCTTACCATACATTTTAACAAACTGCTTTTATCAAATGGTGAAGCAGATATTGTATGACTACCTTTTACAATTTCCGTATGCCAACAATGTCAATTGGAAACCATTCTTGAATGTCTGTTTACTTACTTTGCTTTTGGGGTAATGACATAATTGATCTATGACAGAAGAACATGAGGGATTCCGTTTGGAACATAAATTCGTTCTTGGCGATATCATTTGGAATCAGTAGCTTTATTTGGAAGCATACAGTGGAAACGCAATATAAAATATTAAACTATGAGATAGAAATGCTAGGTACAGTTGAACATGTACAACATGTACATACTTCTTGTCAAAACATGTTTTTAAATGAACTGTTGAAATCCATTCTGAAATTAATTTACATGCAACTGTTTCGTGTTTTTTGTATGATTGATCGACAATTCATTAAACATTTTAAATTTAAAAAGAAACTTTTCGTATTTATTTTTTTAAATCGTGTTATTGTTATAACTCACTTATCTTGAATACATTCTGCGTATTTATTTCATTTTAGTATCCTGCATGTGTCAACGTATAGCTATGGTAATATAGAGCCCTTGTATTATTTTCCAGCTAGGTGAGGGAGGTTCGTACAGCTGTGAATTAAAATTTATAATTCTTTAAATCCTAAAGTATTCATTGAAAGTATTCAACTTATCAAATTCAAACATTTTATCTGGAATATTCGAAAGGCAGTCTAAATTAAAATTATATAGGATGTTTTAGATTACTTTACGTTCATGTATAATGAGTAAGCTTGTTATTTAGGATCTGATTTTTAATAACAAGGTAAACTTTTCAGAAACATTACTGCTGATTGACAATCATATTTTAATGAATTGTACAACCAAAGGAATAACACCTACAAAGATAACTATCATTTTGATATTTCAAAAATATTTATTTTCTTGTTAGATAAAAATTGTGTTACCTGTTTGATTTAAAAATGCAGGTTCGTTGTTTTTATTGTATGGACTTTACATTTAATGAAATAGGCTATATCTTCATGAAGATTTTATTTCCATTTTTAAGTCCTTCATTATAGAAAATCATTGAAATTTCACAACATTTTAAACTAAATCAAATTAACTGCAAAATAATAAGGCGACCAACAAGTAAATACTGTTTTACGTATTACCCCTAATGAGGATTAACATATATCGATATGGATAGTGTATCCTTTTGTTCTCGTTAATGCAAAAAGTAAAATATAAAATTAATTAATTTACAAATAAATAAACACCCTGCTTTTGTATTATACCAATCAAAATTACCGATACAGTTTAATTTTGATATTTTCTAGAGTAATTTAAAAAAATATAAGGTTTAGATAATATTCTCGTTTTTACATTTGCTGAAAAATAACGACAATTTTACAAACAAATGAGGTGAAAATGTTTCTTTCTTTCTGGGTGTAATTCACCCCAAATGTCTCGATGACTAGATTTTTGCAAGACATGACACCCATCTGAGTACCTGGATTTCGTTAGTTATTTAAACATTAAGTTTCTGTACAATGTTTGGTTAAAACCTGCCGAACTTACCTGTTGTAAAAAGATAAGCTTAATTACCAGTGATTTTTGGAGCCAAGCTATTTGAATACTTGACTCGCCCTTTCCTTATTGGACTCTTCAACGTTTAAAAAAATTATGTTATGGACTCGTCTGAATTAAAATCTAAAAAAAATGATTATAGGAATAAAATCCACATAAAATCAGAAAATAACCTTTGTCGTCTATATAGTTTGCGTAACGTGTTGGTGTCGTCTGCTCGAATGTCGAGTGGAGTGCAGACCGCATGCTACACAATGTGAGAAAAGAAAGAAAACATCGACCTACTTTGGCTTACACATTACATAATTATAACACTTATTACTCAAAATACGACTGGTGACAATAGAGACCAAGCCAACAATATTTCGAACTTCGTACGAAAGTGCAACGTTACAGGAAATTTAACAGAAATGAGTGATCCAGTAAGAAAAGCTATCGATCTGTTTAAAACCCCTGTCTTTTGTATCGAGTTGTAAAACACGACGCGACCGTCACGCTATCCAACGACTAGTGTGCACCTAGACGTTCTAAAAAAACAATTCTTTAGCTATACGCCAAATGATCACGTTCAAGTACTAGTTTATTTATAAACGTCGGGTCAGATTACAAACAACACAAGCCTTTAAAGGTACTAAACCAAGATGAAATCACATAAAAAAAATTAAGCAGTAGTGATATCGTATATTTTAAACATGTGAGACATATAAATTTCAATTCTAAAATGCACACAGAACCAGTATGTCTCTAGAATACAAAAATATCTGGAATTTCTATAAAAATTAATTTGGTTGATAACTTAGAATTCATTCAAATATGCTGATAAATAGTACAGTTAAGATGAAAAGAAACATCTTGAAAAACCACACTTGATACATAATCGCAGTTTAACCAAGGGTTATTTAAGCTTAACAGCTAATAACATGGACATGTGACAATGAATAATGTCCAGCCCACCTAAGTCACGGAAAATATGTGTACATATCAGAGAGGAAGTGATCCAGCTATTCCCTCCTGCTATGTAACAGTCTGCATGGTTGTTAA